CAGGGTGCCAGGAACCGGGTGACATCACCATGCCTGGCTGTGTGACCTCCATAGGTGACTTCACCTCTGTGCGCCTCAGTTTCCACATCAGAAACACACCGGCTCCCCCTCCAACACTCCTGAGGGAAATAGAATGAGGTGGTGTTTGTGGAGCCGTTGTTTTTCTTGTTGTGTCTCTTGAGGGGAAGGAGGTTGATTCCCCTGAAGGCTCTCCTTTGAGGAGTGGAAGGCACGACAGCCCCAACTCTGGGTGGAAGCTCCCCTTTGCCCCAGACACCATGTTGCAAACCCTTGAGGAGTATCCTGGACTTAGGCCCTTGCTTTTTCTCTGAATTCTGAGTGCTGCAACCTTGCAACCTCAGTCCAGTTGGAACAGGATTGGGGGCTTGTCAGGCATTGGGAGAGCCCCAGTAACCCTCAGCCAAACTCCTGCATCCCTGCAGGTTCTGCCGCTCCCTGTGGGGCTGGGCACCTGAGTCAGGGTGGATGGGATAGGCCCAGGCCCCACTCAGTATCTTTCACACCTCCCTTGAGTTGAGCACTCTCTGTGTGTGCAGTGCTTTGCACACAGCAGCTCACCAGTGTCTCAGCATCCCCAGTCCACTGAGGAGAAGGGGGGCCTGGGAGGGGTGAGCTTACTACCCAGGTGGCAGCATTGCCATTTGAACCCCAGGTGGTGTGGCCCTGAACCCCTTGCTCCTGATCAGCAGTGCTGTGGGGCAGAGAGGCTACTCCAGAGTAGCCCCTCGGAGCCACTTCCGGAGGTCCTATGGTGTGGCTGCACTGTCATTTATTTATTCAGGCTACTGTTGATGGACTGTTCGTGTTCTCTCTTAAAACAAAGACAAGAGCACACTATGCATCTTAGTCTGCAACTTGCTTTTCTCATGTTACAGCCCCTCAAGATCTCTGTAGGTGAGATGTATATGTATTTTTTTTTCTTTTTAACATATTCAGCATATTTCTTAGGAGATTGGTCATTTTTTAAAAATCCAGTCTTACATCCAAAGTCAGCATTTTAAAATATCTATGAGAAGAATTATCTGATAAAGCAAATCAAGGGATGTGCCCCTCTCCCCCATTTTTTGAAATACAGGAATATTAATGTAGGCATAGAGATTTATATTGTAAATGGATCCAAAGAGGGCACAGGGTAAAATAAGTTGAGAAAGCCGGCTTGAGGTATTGGGTCAGGGAGTGAAGAGGCCAATGCCTCTCTGTCTGGTTGTGCACCAGGCCTCGGTATGCTCCGCCGGGGTGTGTTCTGTCGGGGTGTGCTCTGCCGGGGTGTACACCAGGCTTCGGTGTGCTCTGCTGGGATGTGCTCCACCAGGTGTGCTCCCCTGGGGTGTGCTCTAGGCCTCGGTGTGCTCTGCCGGGGTGTGCACTGGGCCTCAGTGTTCTCCGCTGGGGTGTACTCTGCCGGGGTGTGCACTGGCCCTTAGTGTGCTTCACTGGGTGTGCACCGGGCCTTGGTGGCTCTGTTGGGTTTGTACCGTGCCTTGTGCCCTGCCTGGATGTGCCCTCAGTCTCCATGTGCACTTGGCCTGGGGCCACATTGACTTCAGCTGCCTTGCTCACTCTTTGCCCAGATACCTTCCAAGTACCTGCCTGTGTGCTGGGTCCCACCATGTATGAACCCATAAACCCCTGTGGGGCTGACATACATGGGTGATGGGGCCCCCAGACTCTTCTTGGGTTTGGGAAGGGCCAGTGTGCCAGCACTTGATGTTTGCGGTTGCAGACATTCATCTGTCCTAGGAAGCATTATCTAGTGTGAGCGAGGCCACTTGGAGAGGCAGAGCTTCTGTATGTGAACTGGGGTCTCCGAACTTGGTTGCTGCCTGGTCCAGCAAGCCACAGAGCTCAGCAAGAACTGCCTGCTCATCGGCTCTGGAAAGTCCAAGGCCCCTGCGATTCCAGCTGCCAGGCTTGGAGTAACCACTGTGTTTTCTTGAATTTTGGTTTTTAACCTGTGCCTCAGTTTCCCCATCTGTAATGCAGGAGGAGGTTGAGTGCTCTGTGAGTGTTATTAGAGGACCATGGAATGAGATTGTTCTTCACCCCTGAGTCCCAGTTTCTCTCCCTGAGGAAGCCTGGGCCCTGTGTCAAGAGCATCCTTCCAGAGGTGCTTGTGCTTATTGTGAGCTCATGCACATAAGTTCCTTTTGTTTCTAACTCCAATAGCGTGATACAGTGCTCTGTTTTGCACCTTTCCTTTTTCACTTAAGATGTCTTAGATCATTCCAAGTCCGCATATAGAGCTGCCTCATTCTTTCTCTCAGCGGATGACTGTCCCCTCTCGGCCTCACACCACTCTGTGAGCTCAGTTGCCTTGTTTTGTTTTGTTGTGTTTTTAGCTGAGCCATTCTGCCACCTGTTGGCAGCTCAGTGGCAGCTCAGCTCGGTCCGGGAATCGAACCAGTGAGTCTCAGAGCTCTCACTCTTGAGTGCGCTCTTAACCAACTGAGCCACTCGGCCGACCCTCAGTTGCCTTGTTTTATCCATCTAAGATGCTGTCGCCTGAAGACACACCATAATCTTTTATAATACCAAGAAAAAGCAATGCCCAATTAAATCAGGACGTGTATCGTAGGACCCATGGATTATAGCAGTACGGTTGACCCTTGAACAACAGAGGTTTGGACTGCATGGGTCTACATATATGTGTATTTTTCTCAATACTGTAAATGTATTTTTTTTTAAAGATTTTTATTGGGGAATTGGGGGATGGGAACAGTGCTGGGGAATTGGGGGAAGGGGAACAGACAAGTTGCTGTCCTTTTG